TTTTGTTTTGAAGTTTTTCATTACAGCGATTTCCACAACTTACATTTGAACGAACTTGTCCTAGGGATTTTGCCCGATCGACTTCAAATTGGCTACAGATCATCCAGAGACCATGCTGATGAAAAGTTGTGCTCTGCATGTCTGTCGGTCAAAGGGCATAGCTGCTAGGACGTGACAAATTTTGGCAATGTTTCATTTCCTCGCCATCGAATTTTGAACAGCTCTCACGCCCACATACTTGATCGTAGCAGCTTCAAATTTGCTGGACATGATGATGGCTCCGCCCTGAATTCCCCAATATGTTAATATCCCACCTTACTCATAGCGCCCCCCAGTGGAAACAGGAAGTGACCAGTTTTTACTTTAACATGTACTGATGCCACAAACTTGACCCCATCAACTTCATTCCACTTCTGATGCATGCAGAACAAGTTGGTGAAGCTACCTTATGAACGCTGTGAAGCTACATCTAATGGTGTCCATGTGGCGACGTGGCGACTATCGATCTCTCGCCACCAAATACGTTTTGCATTTTGATGGCTTCATCGACCTCATATCCTCATAAAAATTGATACACAGGTCAAGAATGGCGAGCTTTTACATCTGATAGGGGCATCGCCCATGGGGGGACAAAATGCCTCTATAGCGCCCCCTTGAAATTTTCAAAAAACCCTCCCCATAGGGGTTTTTTTTGGAGAAGGAAGATGAAACTGTGTACATATGTGTAAGTTGCCCAGACGCACCAAAAAGTCTCTGCCACCAATGGTCTACTCCAAACAGGAAGTCGGCCATTTTGATTCAAACTTTTCATTTTGGTGGCGATGTTGTGATTTCCACAACTTTGTATTTTAACAAACTCCTCCTTCAGATTTTGTTCAATCAACTTCAGATTTTGTACAGATCATTCTGAGACCATGCTGATCAAAAGTTATTAAAATCTTTTTAGTATGTCAAGGGGCGTGGCCGCCATGTTTGATGCATTGCCATGCATATTCAAGCAACTCTCTCTCCCACATACTTCATCCTAACTGCTTCAAAATTTCTGTACATGACAAGAGCCCCGCCCTGCACACCTCCTATTCTCATACTCAGTCTAACTCATAGCGCCCTTGCCATATTTTTATATTGATAAACACCAACCCCATGCTCAACTACATTTTGTGACCACATATTTATCAGGTTGATGAATCTCCCCAGTGACACACGTGTGCTGTCATGTAACAGGCTGCCCATGGCGACTTTCGATCCTTTGTCATGGAATATCAAATCCTCATAACTCCATCATGCATTGCTCTTATTGGCCACAATTTGATATGTGTGATCATGGTCTGCCCCTGTCCACATCTGCATGGCAATATATTGGTCTTACTCATATAAACACTTAAGTTATGCGTGCTGCTGGCCCCCCGTGGTTGCGCGGGAGAGCGAGGGCCCGATCACAGCTGCTTGCAGCTTTAATTATTATTATTATACATCTTATTATTTTTTGGTAAGTAAAAGGGGTGCTGCAGGCTACACTGTGCAAGGGAGGGTGGTACAATTTGGAGGATTGGTCCAGACTCCTGCAGGGACCTCAGATGCAAAAAATTACATATGTGCACATGCAGGGGGCACTACAATCGAGGCCAACACTTTTTGGCATGTAACTCCCACACCATATGTCGCACATTCAAAAGTCTTATATCCATGGATTCCCTGAATGCAACTGCATCAAGTCTCCATGGCCACGCCCACTTCCATTTAACTTTTTTCCCACCAAAATTGCAAAAACTGCAATACATACTTTTTCGAACTCCTCCTAGAGATTTTGACCGGACTGCGTGAAACTTGGCACCTAGACTCACAAGATGCACCTGATCTTAAGTTATCAAAAGAATTTTGCCCGGTCAAAAAATGTACGAATTATTGATGAACAAATTTTTGTAGCTAGCTATGAAAATGTGAGCTGTTCCATATCTTTGTCAAATTAAGAGCTATCAAACCTAAACCTAAGATCCTTAGTAAGTATGTGACTGTGAGGGTGTGAACCGAAGGTGGTGAACACTGGCCACTAGGGGGAGCTATAAACATGGGAAGTTTATATCTCCTAAACAGCTACACCGATTTTTATGAAATTTGTTGGGTATGATGGGTAGGGCCATTCCTGAGGCCATATATTGAAGGTAGTCATGACTGGTCAAACTTATTACAAGATAAAAAAACAAACATTTATTTCAGCTGAACTATTGTACTAAGCACTGTTAAATGTATAGAGTACATGTAGAATAGGACACAGACCTACCATACCAAAAATTGCGCAGATACTCCACAAGGTAGCGCTATAACAAACGCAAATGTGTTTGTTCCTGTTACTTCCACATTTTAAATTACATATCCATAAACTTTATATACCCATATTCCCTAAATACAGCTGGATTTGCTGACATAGGCCCCGCCCACTTCTGCGACACATTTTCTTCGCTAAGTTGCTACACATCCAAAACCTACTTTTTAGAACTCCTCCTACAGATTATGTCCAAATTGCATGAAACTTGGCACGTCTACTCTCAAGATGGACCTGATCTAAAGTTAGCAAAAGAATTTTGCCTGGTCAAAAAATGTGTGAGTTATTAACGACAAAAAAATTTACTAGCTAAAATACACGTATTGTTGCATATTTTTGTCAGACTAAATCATATCAACATAACACTTAAAACATATGTCCCAGAGGTCGTTCAGAGGCTCTGTGCCAAATTTGGCCCAAATTGGCTACTAGTGGATGCTGTAAAGCCAGAAATATCACGTTTCATAAAAGTTGATAGGATTTGTACAAAAATTGGTGAGCATGATGTGGGGACAGTCCTGAGGCCAGCCGCAAGGTTTGGTAATGATTGGTCAAAGTGGGCATGACTCATTGTAACAAACGCATTCAGCCTTTAGTACTTCCAAAGCACTTCCCATTATGGTGAATACTGCAGCTCAGACGCTGGCCTGTGTCCTGATGCTCGCCCTGAGCCCGTCGTCCTTTGGGGCCGACTATAGTGAGCTCCATGGTGTATGGAGGCCAAGTTACGCGGGGAGGCTTGGACCCCGTTAATAACTTGTAACAGTTCTAGTTTTATCTTGTTTTTTTATTGGTGATACTGCATGCCTTCTTTTGCACCAAAGTGGACAGTATCCCAATTTCGTTGTGCTGTGGTACATAAGTATGACTGTACAATGACAATAAAGATCTAGATAGATAGATAGATAATCTATCTATTTTAGCCGAATATGTCATAGAGAAATCAAATCAAATCAAATCAGAACAGTATTTATTAAACAATATTTCCCTTATTCATTTTTTCAGTGACACTCTGATCAGATTTTTTTTTCATTAATCCTGAGTAAAGGCTAAAAATCTTTCATATTATTATTTTTTTTTACATGTATCAATAATATAATTTAATAAGAATAAGAATGACTTCATTCATCCCCAAGGGGAAATTCAATTATCTGTCAGCTCATCTATTATATGTCAAAGAATTATAAAGCCTCAATGCTGTTGGTATATAGGATCTTCTCTATCTCTCTGTCCTGTATCAAGTGTTTATTTTAAATACAGTTTAAACACAAATTATATATTTTAACATCACAATCAATACACTGAAACATGCCTTGCACTTCCTCCTTTCCTCACGGTCGACCATGCTTGTTTAAAAAGGGGGCGTGGCTCTACAGCAGTTCACTTTAAATGATGTGGAACACTATGATTGGCTTATTGACATCCCATCAAATAGGTCTGTGCATTTAGGTGGAGTCAGAGGACAGTAATCATAGATCTAGACATGCTAGTGTGGCGTAATGGAGAGGGAGGAAGTTGCACGACAACGCCACCAGGGGAATTGCACCCCAGGAAATACCTCTGACCAATACCCTTACTAATAAGGTCACACAAATTCGTTACACTGAGAGGACGAGAGACAGATTTCCAAATATAACAAAGATTTATTGATTAAAAGAAAGGTTAACTATGTTTAAAAGAACACAAAGATGCCAAAAATACACAGCCTGAGTGCCAAAATAATAAACTAATGTACTTTGCGGTATGAAATAAACAAACTAGGAACAGGGCTAAGGCTTAATTTAGCGGACAGACTAAATCAAAACCAAAGGGAGGGACACAACTCAAACGAAAGAAAACCACTACAAACCAAACCACCACGTGCCACACCAAATTAAGGGGAGTGAGAGGGGAACCACCACAGGGGGAAGTCTGCCGCACACTTCGCCAGCTCCTGTCCTGGAAAAGGAAAGAAACAAAATTATAATACTGCTTGTGGGGGGGACACTCAGGTAGATACAGTAGGTTGTACAGTTAAAACAGGAGACCTATACTAAACACACGCACCCACACACAGCACTCACACCCACCCACACACACACACACAGGAACAGAATAAACCCAATAACTAATTAAATGACTGATACCAACTACAAATACACAAGCAAAGGAAACACAAAGTAACAAGATTATAATGAAACAAAACAACCTTAACCCCCAAAACTCAGCTGCAGGCGGAAACCAGGAGTAGTAACTAGTTGTACAGTAACTTAAGAGCAAACCCACAGCTGAATATTGAGCTAAACATAAAGAAGATAATCAAACGAAACAAATAAACCATATAAGCAAACAGAAAGGAGTTAATCGAAAAAAGGAGTTGTGTTGGGATGGAGAACCCGAAGCTGCATATGCACACAGCAGGGTTACCGGGCGCACTTTAATGGCAGCAGCAGAAGACGGAGCGACCACACCGGGGCTGGAGACCGTGGACAGCCCCCCCCCCCCCGGATGCCCCACTGGCAGCCCACGTCACCGGGTGGCGCAACGCTGCCCCACACAAGGCGCAGGAGAAAGGAGGCACCAACTGTGGCCTCAACAACTACAGCAGGACAGAGAGCAGGACCACTTTAGTAAAGACTAATAAAACTAACAGAAGATATTAAAAAAAGCAGGCTTACCCAAGCGACGAGAGCTTAACTCACAGCCCAACACAGTCACCGGATGGCGCAACGCTGCTCCACACAAGGCGCACGAGAAAGAGGAGGCACCAACTGTGGCCTCAACAACTACAGGAGGACAGAGAGCAGGACCACTTCAGTAAAGACTGATAAAACTAGCAGAAGGTATTAAAGAAAAGCAGGCTTACCCGAGCGACGAGAGCTTAACCCACAGCCCAACACAGTCACCATCTTGCGGTGAGGGCAGAGAGCAGACACCACACTCCTCAATCTCCACAAAGTTGCGCACACACACACAGCACGGCCGACGCCGCTGTAAAGTAATAACCGGCAGCTATCACACCATGATGTGCTATTAAATTACTCATATAGCAGCACCTATGCCTACCTTACAAGTTGCCGTTTAGTGCCAACAACTGGAGCACGCCAGACAGAGCCCTCTCCCGATAAACGCCAGGCCAATGTGAGCGCACGAGCGAAAGCAGGGCCAATTAAACAGGTGGCACTGCTGCGCAATCAGGCCCAGGTGACACTGATTGAGAGTGGAGGTGGAGCAGCACTCAACCTGCCACACTAGAAAAGATATGTCAATTGGAATGGACTGGGGATTTGAAAAGGTTAAATGATATATTTCCTGGTTGATCAAATGCTTCTCATAATCAGTGAGATAGAAGCAGCCCAGACAGCACACCTGGGAGACAGCAAGGATATGTTTATTGCTTCAGCAGTACCAGGAAGTCCTGTCTCACTGACACAGAGAGCAGGACCACAGAAGGAGACATTCTTATCCCAGCCCATCATTGTTGTTGTCAGAGGCAGCTTTGGGTCTGGTTCACGGTCAGGTGGATGGGGCTCGGGAGAAAAGCCTGCCACACTCATCACATCTGCAATTATCCACATCCACTGAAGGGCAGCCTTGACAGCGCTCCCACTGGTGTTCACACAAAATGGCAGAAACAGCTTGGCAGCCCACACATGCTGGTGGATCTTCTATGCCAGAGGCAACGCACTCCACATGGAAGCAGATAAAGCCTGCCTGGTGCACGGCCACCACTGTGAACATGCCAGGACAAGAGAGGCAGTGAGGGCATGGTCCAACATTACTTGGCTCTGGTAGTGGTAGTGGGTCCTAAAGAATAGTGGATGAGTAGTAGTTTTAAAAGAGTCTCACAGATCCAGCTGCTAGGCTTGGGTTCGTCCTGACTGTCTCACTGTATACTGTAAATTTCAAAAAGAGGCTGCGGCCTTTCTTATCCCAACTGCAGAGAAATCCATGTTAATATCAGAAACAGGCACTGGTTTCCATGTGTGTATTTTTCATGTTTTGACAAGACATTTCTTACTAACACTTCCTCAGTGTTTACTTGTTTTCTAATGCACATTTCTGCAGCATCAGTTTCATCAGTACAAGTTTGAGTCTCTCTTTTTAACAGAAATACTGTTCGTACCTACTAAATAATTCTGGTCTGATCTTTTTTTTCTCATTTTTTGCCTTTTTTGAGCCATTTTTCTGTTCAGTGTTATGCTGCTGCCCATGAAGATCGACACTTCCTGCAATGCCAAAAGCCTTCCAGTAGCACAAAGAGCACAATCTTTCCCTGTCAAGGCTTTAAGAGGTCCCATGAAAAGTAGCATTACCTCTTTACTATGATGTGAAATACCGTAGGACAGTGAGGGATCAATGGACTATTAATAATAGAGGGAAAGGCAGTTTGATTTGAATGGAAAGCCAAAGCAGGATTACTGTCTTTATTGGCTGCAGTTTTAGTTACCCGTACCAGTACAGCATGAAGTTGCCACTGAAATGGCCTGTATTCCAGCAATTCCAATGGCCAGTTTAATAGCAGCCAGCTTAATAGCAGCTAGATTTTACTTTTATTTGACTTTTATTTACAGCAGCCAAGGACCCAAAAAAGAATAGCAAAGTAGAAGTGATTGCAATAATCAGTCAATAATTAGTGAATGAATAACAGCTTTCCAGTTAAAAAGAGAAACTCAGAGCAACAGACTAATGAGTATTATATGATATTGTAATGATGCAGTTAGTGATGTTGAAATACACGTTATGTTGAATTTACCACAAGAATCATTATAGTACAAGTAGATGCAACCCCATCAGTGTTTTTTAACCATGGTAGTGGCATAACTGGACTGAAATGGGCTGAAAATGGGCCCTCTATGGGATTGTCCACAAGTTAAATAATGGCCCCATGCCACCAACATGGATGGGTTTACCCAAGTGGGCCACACATGGGTTACAGTATGCTAAGACGACCTGGGTACCAAGAGGGTATTGGCCCAACATGGGGATCTTATCTGGACCCCACTTGGGGAAAATCAACCATGTGGGAAATTTGCATGGGGCCATTGTAGAACCTGTGGACAATCTGAAATAGGACACATTTTTCAACCCATTTACAACTCACACGGGCTTCACATAGAAATGTTGGCTGGTTGGGAATGGAAGTGTCAGTCAGTCCATTCATCACTTTGGTTCAGACTGAAAATTCTAAACAGCTATCAGATGAATTAAAATTTTGTACAGACATTCATGGACCTCAGAGGATGAACCCCACTCACTGACTTTGGTGATCCCCTGATTTTTCCTCTAGTGCCACAGTGCAGTTTTGTTTTTTAGTGAATTTCTAGATACATATTGTAAAAAGGAGGATTAGGGCCATGTTAAAGAAAACAAAATCTTAGATTTTGAGAATAAAGTTCTAGTAACACAAACTCATAATTTTAGAAAATATAACGCGTTAACAACAGGTTTCCAGGTGATATTATTATATTTACAATGTCATTTGGATACCACCTGAAAACTGTTCACTGTTTTCATGTTTCATTCATCCACACTGATCCACACTGCTCCACTTCCACCAGTGCACCAACAGAATATATGTGTATAT